GCGGGTAGTGGTGGAGCGGCGGCGCCTCGTCCCGCATCGCGCATCGCCGCCGGTGCGCACGGGGCCGCCCGCATGGTGGACATCCTCCTGCCGCGGCCGCTCCCGAGCGCCATGGGGGAGCCCGCCAAGAGTAAGTGCCGGGGCGGGAGGGCCGCGGGGCGCCGCGGTGCCGTCGGGCGGGCGCCTCGCTGACAGCGCCGGGAAGGGCCCCGCGGGCAGCTGAGGGCTGGGCGCGGGGCGGCACGGTTTTGCGGCGTCTCCCCGCTGCCCCTCCGGCCGCACCGCCGCCGCGCTCCCCGCGCCCGCTCCGTCCTTCCTTCTCGCGTCGTTCTTTCGTTCCCTCCTTCTCTTTCCGCGTTTCGGTTTTCTTTTTTTGTTTCTCTTTCCGTTTTCCTTTCTTTCTTTCTCTTTCTGTTCTTCCGTTTTTGTTTGGGGTTTTTTTTTCTCTCTGTCTGCCCGATGTCCCTTTCCGTTTTCGTTTGTCCGCTTTCCTGCCTTCGTTCTCTCTTTCCGTTTTTTTTTTTTTCCCTTTGCTCTTCTTTCTCTTTCTGTCTTTCCATCGTTAGTTCTTTTCCTTTCGTTCTTTCTTTCCGCCTTCCCTTCGTTCTGTATTGGTCTTTCTGCGTTTCTGCGTTTCTTTCCACTTCCGAGATTCCACTTTTCTATCTTTTCCTGGGTTGATTTCCTATGATTTCCCCCAGTCAACTTTCTCCTCGGAATTCCCACCGCTCCGTTCTCTCCCGTCGCGGCTCTTTTATTTCTTTCCCCGTTCCCGCCCGTATTTATCTCTTTCTTTCAACTTTGCTTAAAAAACAAAAACAAAAACAAAAAACAAAAACGAAACAACCAGAAACCCAAACCCCAAAAAGAACAAAGCCCCGCAGCCCGCAGCCTCCCCCCGCCGCCCGCTGACGCCGCGGGTCCCGCAGGACGGCCGGGGCTGGCGCTGTGCGCGGGCTGCGGGGGCCGCATCCAGGACCCGTTTCTGCTGCGGGTGTCTCCGGACCTGGAGTGGCACGTCGCCTGCCTCAAGTGCGCCGAGTGCGGGCAGCCGCTGGACGAGACCTGCACGTGCTTCCTGCGGGACGGCAAGGCCTACTGCAAGCGGGACTACGGCAGGTGACCCGCTCGTTCTAAAACGAAACGAAACGAACCCGAACCGAGCTCGGAGCCCCTCGCGGCCCCGCGCTCCCCGAGCGCTGACGGCGCGCCGCCGCCCCTCAGGCTCTTCGGCATCAAATGTGCGCAGTGCCGGGCGGCCTTCAGCAGCAGCGACCTGGTGATGCGCGCCCGCGACCACGTCTACCACCTGGAGTGCTTCCGTTGCGCCGCCTGCGGCCGCCAGCTGCTGCCCGGGGATCAGTTCTGCCTCAGGGAGCGCGACCTGCTCTGCCGCGCCGACCACGGGCCGCCCACCGACGGCACCGCCGCCCGCGGACCCCGCAGCCCCGCGCCGCCGCCCGCGCACCTCGCAGGTACCGGCACACAGCTCCGGGCCGCCGCTGCCTCTCCTCGGGGCGGACGGGCGGGCTGGGGGCTGCGGGCGGCCGTCGGCGGCGGCGCTGACGGCGCGCGCCCTCCTTCCCTCCCTCCTTCCCTCTCTCCGCCGCGCAGAGCCGGTGCCCGGACGGCCGCCCGGCCCGCGGCCGCAGTCGCACAAAGCGGCCGAGAAGACCACCCGCGTGAGGACGGTGCTGAACGAGAAGCAGCTGCACACGCTGCGGACCTGCTACGCCGCCAACCCGAGACCCGACGCCCTGATGAAGGAGCAGCTGGTGGAGATGACGGGGCTCAGCCCGCGCGTCATCCGCGTCTGGTTCCAGAACAAGCGCTGCAAGGACAAGAAGAAGTCCATCCTCATGAAGCAGCTCCAGCAGCAGCAGCACAGCGACAAGACGGTGAGCGGCCGGGCGGAGGCTCGGGAGGGGACCGGCGGGGGGGAGTCGGGGCGCCGCGCTGAAGCGCCGCGTGCCCGCAGAGCCTGCAGGGCCTCACCGGGACGCCGCTGGTGGCCGGCAGCCCCGTCCGGCACGAGAGCGCCGTGCAGGGCAGCGCGGTGGAGGTGCAGACCTACCAGCCGCCCTGGAAGGCGCTCAGCGACTTCGCGCTGCAGAGCGACCTGGAGCCGCCCGCCGCCTTCCAGCAGCTGGTGAGCCCCGGGCGCGGCGGGGAGCGGTCCGGGGCGGGGACGGGCGGGCCGCCGCGGGGCTCATCGCCGCTGCTCCCCCAGGTCTCGTTCTCCGAGTCCGGCTCTTTGGGCACGTCCTCCGGCAGCGACGTGACCTCGCTCTCCTCCCAGCTCCCCGACACTCCCAACAGCATGGTGCCCAGCCCGGCCGAGACGTGAGGCCGCCCAGTTCCCGCCGCCGCGGGACCTCCGCATGCCGCGCTCCCTGCATGAGACACCCGGCCCCGCGCCGCGCCCAGCGCGCCGGACGAGCGCCTTTGTCTTTTAATTATCCCTATTTAAAACCAAACCGAACATACCTTGCCGACGGCCGAAAAGAGCCGGGATTCTCGCTGCCTTTACCGGACCGGAGAGAGAAAGAGAGAGGAGAGCCCCCGCCCCGCTTATTTCGTTGCGCGGAGGTTCGGCGCTGCGTATTTCGATGTTTCTTTTCCCCGATGAAAGCGGATTGCCCGGCGCGGCGCCGGCTCTTCTTCCTCGCCTGGAACAGAAACGAAAACTCGAATCACAGCGAATGGGGAACGGAGCCCCGCGGCCGTCGGGGCCGCCTCATGCCGGTGTCTCCCGCAGCGCCGGAGTGCGGAGACGGGGCGGTGCGACGGCACAGCGCTGCCGGCGTTGTTAGCGACGGACGGAGGACGGATTGTTTGAGCCTTTAAACGAACAAAAGTAAGTTATTGCTATTTATTGTCAGAGTCAGCGGTTGAATAGTGGGATTAAATATTTTGGACTTAATAAAAACTAACGAACAAAAAGAAAAAAAAAAAAAAAACAAAACAAAACGAAAACGTTGCAACGAAACGGAGCTCAGGGCGGGGCGGGCTCAGCCCGCGGCGCGGCTCTGCGGCATCGCCACCCGCACCGCTAATCGGCTCCGACTGCCGCCCGTTTATTTATAGCGGGGAGGCGGAGCGCGGCTTTCCCTTTCGGGCAGCGCCCGGGGCCGGCCCGCACCTGCCGCGATGCGGGGCTTTGCCGCGGGGCTTCCCTTCTCACACAGACGTTCCGTTCTCCCCGGTAGCGGCTCCTCGCCTTCCTTCCTCCGCCCGCGCTCCCGTTCCGGCTCCCCGCCTCTCCCTCCCCTTTCTCAGCCTGGCCGGCCCTCCGCGGCCCCGACCTTTCGCGTTCCCGGAGCCGCCGCGGTGTCGTGGGGCGGTGCGGGAGCTCCGGCCGCGCGGGGACAGCCGCGGGTCGAGCGCTGCGGGGCCGTCGGGCTCACGGGGCGGCCCGGGTTGCGAGGGAAAGAGAGGGGCTGCGGAATGGCCGCCGGCCCGGGGCGGGTGGGAGGGATCCCCGCTTAACCGCGGGGCTCGGAGTTACCTGCGGGGAGCTCCGGCTGCCCGCAGATCGGACAGGAAATCAGGGCGGCCGAACGCCGTCAGCCCCGGGCCGGGTCGCTGGGGGCACAGCGGGCACGAGGGCGGCTCGGGGCGGGCGGCGCGCGGAAGAAAGCTCGAGGAGACGGCGGCTGCTTCACAGGCTTTAATTGCGGTTCGTGGAGACTTTACCCCGTTAAGAGAACAGCACAAGGTTGAAAGGAGCGTTATTAAAGTCTTATCGAAACGGTGAAAATGTGCGTGGTTTACAAAATCCGTGTTACGCCGCCACGAGTCGCCACTGAACTACAAGCGAAGGTTCCCCACAGCCCGTTCTGACCCCAGCCCCCCCCCCCCAGAGCCTTTCCTCATGGCAACTCAGAGCCCAGCACACCACAGCCAGAATAAGTTACTTTATTACAGATGTACAGAAGGCATTTCTGCTTGCAGTCTCCTCTCCGCAGCTCCAATGCCAGCACACCACACCGTAGGAAGGATCCGGGACGTTGGGACACACGACTGAAATTAACTCCAATTATCAAAATTACAAAACAGAACTCGAAAGTATCTACAGTGCTGGGGATATAAATAGTGCAAATTACACGTATCTACAGCAGCAGCGGTGGTGCGTCGGCGCGGCCCTCAGCGCCGCAGGAAGAACTGCCGGGCCTCCTCCCAGCACTGCCGGGGGAAGCGGTTGGGCAGCTCGAGGGAGTCCTGAGCGCAGAACCGCTTCTCTGTGGGAGACAGAAGGTAAAATTATCCAGTTATTCACTCTTCAGAAAGATGGCAATAAAACAAGAATAATGAACAGGCGGCCAACTCTGGCCACGTCACCTCCTCACCCCCCCCCTCCAGTCCTCACGCCATGCAGGGAGGTGAGCGCAGGGCTCTGAGCCCACAGCATTCGGTGCGTGCTCCCATCCGGCCCTGCCTCCTCCTCAGCAGCTGCTCCTCAGCCCCCAGACCCACAGCTTTCCCATGAGGACAGCAGGCTGCACACATGTGCCAATGTTTGCGAGGCCCAACCCTGAACTGAGCAGTGGAGAACTCCCAAGTTCTCTTTTAATCATACAATGGCCTGGGTTGAAAAAGATCACAATATTCATCCAGCTCCAACCCCCTGCTGTGTGCAGGTCGCCAACCAGCAGCCCAGGCTGCCCAGAGCCACATCCAGCCTGGCCTTGAATGCCTGCAGGGATGGGGCATCCACAGCCTCCTTGGGCAACCTGTGCCAGTGCCTCACCACCCTCTATGTGAAAAACTTCCTCCTCATATCCAACCTAAACCTCCCCTGTCTCAGTTTAAAACCATTCCCCCTCATGCTATCACTATCCACCCTCGTAAAGAGCCGTTCCTCTCCTGGTTATAAGCAGTATTTTTGTTCCTGTTTGCATTTTGGGGGGATGCTGCCCTTCACACTGGCATGATAAAATAGATAAAAATAATCCTGCCTATGCTGCTATTATTATTCCCTCTTTTTGCATCTGGGGAATGTTTAGAAATCACACTCTCATGTCACCACGTAGTCATCTTTGTTTAAAAGCTCATTCCGTTTGAATAATGAAAATAAAAAGCAGTTCCCTGCTTGGATTTTAGCTGTTTCTCAAGCTGATTCTCATGCAAACACATTAATTCTGGAAAGTTTGTTTTGCAGACATTGCACGAGGCTGCCTCAGACTGGAAGGGAGAATGCCAACAGTAAAAATCACACCATACCTACCTTCATTTTGCAGTGTATTTTTAAAAATCTTGTGACTTAGAGCTAGAACCATTCCTCCCCTGCCAACCCCCCAGCAATGCTGTGGTGAAACTCTGCCCACTGTGAGGGAGAAATGGGAGATGCACTTCATGCAAAACGTGGGTGACTCCAGATGTTTTCCCCACCAGCGTACTTCAATTTCCCATCTATTTAATGAGCAAGAGCTGCCTTAGCTGAGCGCCTTCCAACTGGCCAGCATAGGTGGGTTAGCTGTTTTTTATTCAGTATTAACAACTCGGAAAACAATGCAACTCCTGCAGCCCAAGGAACTTGGTGGAATAATTACAGGACAGTATTTTACTAATTTCTGGCTCCTCGGGTGTGTTGGGATGGCTGCACGGCTGCTGTAACCTAAGACTTTTGAAAGCAGCCTTTGTGACAGCTAATTAAATACGTGCACGTACAGTATCACGTTTTAAGACAGAATACCACGTAGCGTTTAATAAAGATTAACAGCCCAGATTCCTGATACTGTGAGCAAAGACTGGAAGTCGCACACTTTCAGGTCAGATTTTAAGCTAGAGAGCCTCTCCCAAGACTGGAAAATCATTTTGCAGTTTACTGTATTCCTTTTTATGGTGATGCAGATGCAAAAAATATCCAAATCACAGCAAAACACAGTATGTACATATTTTGTTACCCAGTTGTACTCCGTTACATTCAATGGAGACATACCCCTCTGCTGAGATAACAGATTATCCATTTGGCCTGAGCTCTGTGCAAAATCCTATGGGAAAGAAAAAGAGCATCAGATTTTCAGATCTCGCATTTGAGGAATTAAAACCATTTTGTAAAGTCTTCGAAGTTGGCCAAGAAAACGAATGCTTTATGAAATCTGCATGTTAACAAAGCGCTTTGTTTGCTACGCGTTGTATCAGGACACTGCCAGCACTTAGTTTCTATAGCTCAGAGTGGATTTTGCACAATTTCAAAGTACACCTATTTTTAATTTACAGCAGAGAAATAGCGGTTTTATTACCTTCCTCAGAAATAATTATTCTCACTATTTTCAATTTGAGACAGTGACTACGGCCGTATTTCTTTACCACGCGTTTTGGAGTGAGGCTGTGAATTCCAAACACGCTCTCACTCCATTGCTGACCGACCCAATTCCACCCTGCAGCTTGAGATCCCCATTCCCTGAGAGCAGGCAAAGTTCTCCCAAGGCCGTGATCAGCTCCAGAGAGCACAGCAAGCCCTGCTCCCTCGGGCTGCTCCAGTGCGCAGCGCTCCGAGCAAACCGCCTTTTGTTCCTGCACTCCTTAAGCAGGGCTGGGGTCGTTTGACACGAGACACAATTTAACAGATCGTGGCTATTTCTGAATATTTTTTTACAATTGTTCCAGCGCACCCAGAGACAGAAGTAAGAGAAAGGATGATGCAACCTTCAGGGGATGGCAGCAGATCTGCTGGCAGGGAGGTGCAACGCTGATAGTTGTAAAATCCAGCAATCATTTTCCTTTGATTGATGCTGCACACATTTAACACACTATATTTAAGTGTTATATTTGTACACACCACCAAACTCTTACATAAACAGGGCTTCTTTTTGCATTCCCTGGCACAGGAAGAATCTCATTTTCTGGTCCCAGGGAAATATTTTGCAGACTTTACCAAAACTTCCACGGAAGGGAGTGAGGGATTTGCCTGACAAAAAAGCAGCGGGTTGAAACCGAAGCAGAGGGGCAGGGCTCTGCTGTGTGCACAGCTATGGGAGCACTCCTCTGTGCCTGCCGGATTCGCTCTCTGCGCGTGTTCAACATTTGGGGTTTGATTCTCAAAGGGGTGCAACAGTGAAGTAGCAGGGAGGTGAGCAATGACACGGCAGTAAGATCGCACACACACACACAAGGATCTTCTATACATTAATGCAACACCTCTCCTAAAAGCCTGGAAGAACAGTATGAGGACTTGGCATCTGGGATAGAAATCCAGCTCTAATTGGAAGTGAAACTAATAACACCGACCCTTGGAAATATGTTTTGCTGCAGCTAGTGGAGATTTAAATGCCACAGTTTCTAGTAGAGAAAAGGAATCAAGGCAAATAAGGCTAATTATTTGATGGGGGACTCTTCCCTACTCTTCTCTGTATTTTTGAATTGGAGCACAAATCCAGCCTGCTGTGTTTTCTCATACTGCTGAAGCTACTTTTTGCCACCGCAGCTTCTACAGTGATATCTGTAGCTTCCACATTAAAATGTGTCCATATGAAAAAAGTCAAGGTGAGGCACGAATTACGGCTTCGTATTTCAACAGAAGCTCCACTGCAAATTCTGCTAAGCTCAAAAGTTTTTTTTCTTCCTTAAGCTGCTACTATTTGAGTGTTCAAAGAACGAAAAGCAGTCGTGCTCAGTAACTCAGGAGTCACGCTGAAACTTGCAGTAAATATTTAGTTCTTGCGTCCTTTCCCCTCAATTGGGGCAGCCTGCCTCAGGACTGGCTGTAAAGCATTTAGGGAAGAGCTGCAGGACCGTTTCTGTAGCAATAACAGGAACTTCCAGGTGACCAAAGCACGTTATTTTGTGATAGCGTTGATGAAAACAGCATTTACTTATTTAAAAACAGACAGTAAAATATATAGAAAGCATGAAACAGGTTTGGTAAGTACAGCACAGCATATAGATTGACACGAAGGGAACAAAGCTGCTGTAAAACCTTACTCAGAGCAGTATTTGTAACGACCTCAGTGGCTTACTGTCAGAAGTAAAGACTGCACGATTAGACCGGTAA